ATGACAGCAGTATGCATTACAATTCATATTATGCATATAGAGCAAAATTTTTCATATTTTTTTTTGTACCCAAAGTTGAGTCACACCATTAGTGTCTTCATACATGTACTTAGGGTAATGATGACCATCGCATTCCACCATCTTTCCTACTCCCATGCCTTCTCTCTTCCCCTCTGACCCCATTGCCCTATCTACAGTTCATTTAATCTTCCCATGCCCCCCCAACCTCATTATAAATCAGCATCTTTAAATGAGAGAAAACATTTGACATTTTGTTTTTTGGTATTGGCTTACTTAGCATGATACTCTCCAACTCCATCTATTTACCTGCAAATGCCATGATTTTATTCTCTTTTAATGCTGACTACTATTCCATTGTGTGTGTGTGTGTGTGTGTGTGTGTGTGTGTGTGTACATCACATTTTCTTTATCCATTAATATACTCAAGGGCATCTAGGTTGGCTCTACAGTTTAGCTATTGTGAATTGTGCTGCTAAACATTAATGTGGCTGTGTCCCTGTAGTATGCTGTTTTTAAGTTCTTTGGGTATAAACTGAGTAGTGGGATAGCTAAGTCAAATAGTGGTTTCATTCTCAGTTTTCCAAGGATTTCCATACTGCTTTCCATATTGGCAGCACCAATGTCCACTCCCACCAGCAATGTATGTGTGTGCCCTTTTCCCCACATACTCACCAACACATATTGTTGTTTGTATTCTTAATAGCTGCCATTCTGATTGGAGTTTGATGGAATCTCAATATAGTTTTAATTTGCATTTTTCTAATTGTTCAGAAGTCTTGAACATTTTTTTCCATATATTTTTTGACCATTTATATACTTCTGTGAAGTGTTTCTTCAGTTTTTTTTGCCCATTTATTGATTGGGTTATTTTTCTGGCGTTAAGTTTTTTGAGTACTTGGTGTATCCTGGAAATTAATGCCTTAACTGAGATACTGGTGTTAAAGATTTTCTCCTATTCTGTAGGATCTCTGTTCACTTTCTTGATTCTTTCCTTTGCCGTATAGAAGCTTTTTAGTTTGATATCATCCTATTTATGGACTCTTGATTTTATTTCCTGTTCTTTAGGAGTCTTATTTAGCAAATTGTTTCTTAAGCAGACATGTTGGAGAATTGGGCCTACTTTTTCTTCTAGTAATAGCAGAGTTTCTGACCTAATGCCTAGGTCCTTGATCCACTTAGATCAGACTTTTTGTGCAGTGTGAATGTGTATATTAATTCTATTGTACCAAACTATCTCACTAGAACTTTGAGATAAATTAGTTATACATATTTTATTAGAATTTATGGTTAGATATTACTGTGTGAAACATCCAGTTACTCACTTAGAATATCTTAATATTTGCTACAAATTATAAACATTTTTGTCACATGGTCTGTGTATCCATTGGGATAGCAAAATTTGATAGGGGATTTCTCAACATTTGCCTAAATTAGTTTGGGAAAATATATAACCATGTTTATTTTATTTGTGTCGATGAACATCCCTCAGTTGTAAAGGAATAAATTTATAGTACAATTGCTTATAAAAATCCATGCATTAAAGGAAAGATGAGAATACTCATTGGGCATTTTATCTTAGATAATGAGTATCTTGATGATAACATATCTTTAATAATAATACAAATGTCTTTATTATTAGCATCATTATCTTCCTAGAAGACACTATTTTATAATGTTTCATTATTATTCTGTCGATTAGAAGTGCCAGTTTAAGCACTTGAATTAATTTGACCCATTGGATTCAAACCTAGTTTCAATATGTTTTTTCATTTGCACAGGGAGATCACATTTGACTAGAGGCATTGCTGAGTACCTCAGGACCTTAGGACAATTGATGACAAAGCCAATTCTTGATATTTTTGTACTAAAACATTTTTTAAAAAGTCTTCAGTCCATTCTAAGTAATTTTAATTAATTAAAGAATTACTATAATCTTTTATTTCAAGTTTTGTAAGCATTAGAAATCTACATAGAGTAAAATCATTCTATTACAAATGACATTTTGGGGATATTATGAATTCAGGCGATTTTTAACATGAAGTTTTCAATTCTATATAGATATTTGATGTTTCATTGTTATTCTTTGAGCTCTCTATCTAACTCTGTGATTGTGATCCCTGGAGGAATACTTTTTAAAACAAAAAGCCAAAGGCAATAATAGCCACCAGTCAATTAGCTACTTATCATGGTAAAAACATGATTGTTTTAGAAAGCATGTCTAGTTAAAGAACTATTTTAAGCTTGATTTTACTATAGTGATTCTCAAAGCAGCAGTTCTTACTCATGGAATTCCTGTTTGAACCCAGGATTTAAGCCAAGTTGTATAACACAAGGATTCCAAAAGATTCCAAAAGCAAAACTGTGACTATTGATATTTAGGATGACAAAGTCTAATTTTAAACAATTTGTTCATTTGAAAAGGGAAAGGATAGACTATATTTTAATGAAAACATGCATAAGTATGAAGTCATGTATTGAGCATTATTTATGCCTAGGTTAGCCAGGAGTCTGTTTACTGAATATTCTTAATATCCTCTTCATGCTATAGCATTTTCATCTCATATGTACTTGGATACTTAGTCTCTCATACTGGAGATTGAGGTGTATAAAGAAATTAGGATACTTTTCTTCACTATTTCTGTGGCTTCTAAAATTTGCAAATGCTTCCAGCAGTAATGTCAATATGATTAAGATATTTTCATAGACAGAAGAAATGACTGTTGAAATGTGATTTCTTCATATACAGTTGTCTTAAGAAACTTAGGGTGTCTGAGAGTGGCTTGAAAATTAGAATAACTAAAATGTGAGGATCACATAGGCGAGACACTGTGCCCTTAGAATGATCCTTTGAGGAACATTTGAGTTGATTTTATGTGTCTATGTATGTGATGCTGTGGATTGAACACAGGCTAGCCTAAAGCTCTACCACTGAGCTATATCCCCAATCCTAGTGGTGGATTTTGAAAGAAATAACATTAAATGTAGTTGTTCTTTGAGTAATAGCAGTGACTTTGTGTTGAGTTAGCATGGAAACTATTTGCTACCTCTTATAAAATGATAATTTTCCAGTGTAATTATTATCTAGTCTCCTGAGACTATATATCATTTTTAGATTGGTTAAGTCGGGTAAAGCTTAGCACTATTAAGAATTTAGTTATTTAGGTGACTTATTTTGTCTTTTATTTCTCTGCTTAGTTGTGTGTATTTTACACCATTCAAACAAAGGTAATCTTAATAGACTTGCAATACATTCATGCATTTAATGCCATGCAGAGATTTTTTTCCCAGATGCCAATGTTCATGAGTACATTGTCTTTGAAAAAAATTTACTATACTAGTAACTTTCCCCTAAGAGAAAAAAAGTTACTTGTAGTATCCTTCACAAGTTTTAGATCATGGTTAAATTTTTTTTTCCATAAATATGGTATGTGAACCCATTTATTTATTTATTTATTGGTTGTTCAAAACCTTACAAAGCTCTTAACATATCATATTTCAAACATTAGTTTCAAGTGAGTTATGAACTCCCATTTTTACCCCAAATACAGATTGCAGAATCACATCGGTTACACATTCACATTTTTACATAATGCCATACTAGTGACTGTTGTATTCTGCTACCTTTCCTATCCTCTACTATCCCCCTCCCCCCCCATCTTCTCTTTCTATCCCATCTACTGTAGAGACCCTCATTGTTATAAAAAACTACATAAAAGAGGTTGTGAGGGGAATTGGAAGAAAAAATAAGGAGAGAAGAGAAATAATTTTTTTTTAATTTATTTGTTTTAGTTTTTGTATAGTACTTGGGATTGAACCCTGGGCTTCCTACATGATAGGCAATTCAGCTAACATGGATCTACACCTCCAGCCCTGAAGTTATATTTTTAAAGGTGCAAAGAAATAGCACACTTGTGGCCCTAGGAATCACTTATACAATTGAGCATCACTCATTTGAGGACAAATGCCTATCAGTGTACTTGATTGAGAAAAAATTGTCCCTTTTACTTTTCTCACATAATTTGATGGTCCTATTAACCACAACACTATTTTTATAATGGAAGCTGTAAACTGCCAATACTTTAGGACAAAGATAGTTGAAGAGGTTCTGTACAGGAAGAGTTTATGGATTTGACTTCTTCCTTATTTACTCATGTAAGGTTTTTACATTGTTTTCTGTGCTGGCTTCTTTGGAAGGTGTACTGATAGAGATTATGGATAGGTAAAGCCACTCCTGAGCATTACTACTCCTTACAGTTTTTCAGTTTTTTTAAGTCCCTGTGACCATTTGAATTAAAATGTGACCTGAGGAATTCAAAAGTAAACATTATGTTGAAACAAAACAAACAGTATTTCAAAAATGGGGAAGGAGAGAAGGCTAAATTAATCAAAAGACCATCACTTTGAGGCTCAAAACACACACACACACACACACACACACACACACACACACAATGCTACTGTTTTTATTTTATTTATTTATTTTTGAGACAGAGTCTTGCTAAGTTGATGAGGCTGATTTTGAACTTGAAATGGCTACCTGTTTATCAATTAAGTTACCTTAGGTACTTTAAAGCATTTTCAATGAATTAAAGAAATTTTTGCATATTTTAGAAGAAATCTTTATCTTCCTTTTTTCTCACTTAGTCCAAATTAGTGAGATTTTATTATATATTTAATTCCATTGTGCTGTAGGTATCTGGTAAAGGAGTAATTAATGTTACACATTAGGTAAGAAGCAGCAATTGATTTTTGTTTCTATTTGGCTTATCTTTTCTGCTTAAGTGCTGATATTTAATTTGTAGGAAAACCTCTAAACAGGTCTATATTTTTATGTTTATCATCTTCCCTGAACTAATGAAATAAACACATTTATTGATTTCAGAATGAGTTTTATTAATGTAGTTAATATGCCTTACTAATGTTATTTCATGTACTCGGATTAGTACCATTAATTTTATGAATCAACATTTTTCTTTCAGTTCAAAAAAATACAGAACCTTCAGAAATAAAGAAGAGTATACCTGCAAAGAAGAAACTGAAAGAATTAAGAGTTTTGGATCCGAAAACAGCTCAGAATCTGTGTATGTAGTATCTTCCACTTAGGGGGTGGTTGTGGTGATGGTGAGGGGTTGCCAAATGTATTTAAACAAAGTTGTAATTTTTTGAACAATATTAGTATAGATGGAAACAAAATTCTGTAGGTGGACATGGTGGCACACACCTTTAATCATAGAGACTTTGGAGGCTGATTGCAGGAGGATCATAAGTTCAGAGCCAGCCTCTGCAAATTATCCAGGCCCTAAACAATTTAGTGAGACACTGTCTCAAAATACAAAATAAAAACAGAAAGGGCTGGGGATGTGGCTCAATGGTTAAGCGCTACTGGGATAAATCCTTGGAATAAAAAGAAAGTACTAAACAAATAAAAGTAAAAAAAAAAAAAGGAAAAGAAACAAACTTCTGTGTAATTATGATTTGGGTTGCCTTTTTGTCACTTAGCCACTATAAATAAAAATCACAATTTAGCCTTGTTCTGGAAAGTACTGTTAATAAAACCTTCTTAGTGAATCTTGTCAAACAAGTTGAAAAAAAAAGAGTATTAGGTGTTTTTTTTCCCCCTTTTGCTTGAGTCTGGCATTTATAATTTTAGAGTATTCACATTGTTCCCATTCTGCAAAAGTCCTTTTACTTCTATCCTTTGCATTTGAGTAATTGCAAGGCCAGCTAGTTAAAATTTTAACTCTTGCACTTTAAGAGAGGTTACTGACAATTAGGGATATAGTTCAGTGGTAGAGTTCCTGCCTAGAAAGTGCCAGGCCCTGGGTTATATCCTCAGCACATCAAAGAAATGACAAAAATGGTAACAAAAAACAAGAAGAAATGAAGAATAAGAAAGCCCAGACTGATTACTGAACCTTGAAATCGTTACCAAACCTGTCAGCCATTGCTACAGTAGATGGACAGTTAAACTCATCTTCATTTAAGTAGCCCTTAAGTTTTATTTTGTTGTACTCTCCCCACTGTGTTGAATTCAGAATATTTTTTGTCAGTATAGTAGACTGTTGAGATTCCAATTGTGCTAAAACACTATGCATGAGAAATTTCAACACATCAAGCGTTTCTAATTGCTCAAAGAATACCATGGGAATTTATTTTGTTAAAGAATGTGCTATAGAGAATCAGATTAAAATAAACAACTCATCATTCTTTTGTCAGTAGGAATGTAGCTGTCAAAAAAGCAGTGTACTAATAGCTGTTTTGAATTTGTACATTGCTTACCCGATCATACATTTTCTTTATAAATTTGATGTTCAGTACTTTTTAAAAAAATACAATATCATCTCAATTGCTTGTTGACATCTGTCAGAATTATGTACTTAGATTTTGGAGATCTCCTTTGCTTTTTATGTGTAGGTAATCATTTGCGTAGACAGGATTCATTTTTCTTTTAGTACCTAAAAAGTCATATAGACCGTTTCATGAAAAATAAATCCTATAAAACATAATATTGATTAAAAAAGAGAAAATCTTAGGTTCCAGTGATAAGAACACATCTATCTATATTCTTTGAAAAATATATTTAATGGAGATTAAATCGAATGTGTTGGAAAATACTTTCTTAGTAATTATAAGCTATTCTAGGTATAATTTGTTGAACTATTCCAACATGACATAAAATTTATGTAATTCAGTCAATGTTGACAGGTGAAATAATGACTTAATGCATAAAGCAACTAACAGTACACCACATGAGTGTCAGCGGGAATGCAGGGTACTTTGATGACTCAGGCACTTAAAATTTTTTCTTGTGTGGGAGAACTGCTAAGTACAGTAGTTCTTCCCTCTCTGCGTGGGATATGTTCCAAGATCTCCCATGGGAGCAAGAACCACTGATAGTACTGAACCCCACATATGCTATTTTTTTTGTTCATATATATTACGTACCTATTATAAAGTTTAATCTGTAAGTTAGGCACAGTAAAATCTCAACTACAATAATAAAATAAAACAATTATAACAATCTGAAATAAGTGTCATGTGAATGTGGTGTCTCTCTCATTTTTCCTTCTTTCTCCAAAAATATCTTATTGGTCCGTGCTCACTCTTTTAGTGATTCTGTACAATGATCCCTAAAGGAAGCACTTTAGAATTTCTCTTTGGCAAATTGAAATTGTCAGAATCACTATTTTTTTTCAGTTTGGGGCCAATTTTAAGTAAAATAAGAACATAAACACTGTGATAACATAATGGTAGATCTTATAACCAAGAAGAGTATTAAATGATGACGGGGCAGGTAGCATATACTTTTTGGATACACTGGAGAAATGGATAATTTATATCACCAGTGAGGCAGAAGTGACACTGTAAAATGTCATTGGGCTTCTCAGAATAGCACATACCTTAAGATTTATAAATTGTTTATATCTGGAACTTTGCTTGTATTATTTTCAGACTGTGGTTCATTGAATGTAAATAAAAAAACTGTTGTGGGGACTACTATAATATTAATTTGATTTTTTTAAAAAAATGGATAATTTACTGTCATTCCTGAAAATTACTGTGTTTTCATGGGTCATTTTATCAGCTCAACTTAACCTGCCTAAAGCATACAGTCAAGAGTGTTGTTAAGCCCTGCATGGGGGGTGCATGTCTGTGATGCTAGTAGCTTGGGAGGCTGAGGCAGGAGGATTGTGAGTTCAAAGCCAGCCTCAGCAACAGTGAGGCACTAAAGCAACTCAGTGGAGACCCTTTCTTTAAATAAAATAGAAAATAGGTGTGGGGATATGGCTCAGTGCTCGAGAGCCCCTGAGTTTAATCCCTGGTACCACACCCCTGCAAAAAAATGCTCTTAGTATTTGTATTTTTTATGTAAATATTCATGATCTATAAACATTAGAGCCTAAGTTAATAGACTATTTTGCCTAGATGGATAGAAACTTATCCATCAAATGGAAACAACTTTTGATTGTTCATAATTCTGTAAATTGGTATGAATGACAGAAGTTTTAATATTTTGAATCTATAAAATGGAAAGGATATAAACCCTACGGCTTTTACATTTATTGCTGTCCTAATGTTAATAAATTCAACATCTATTTTAGCTATCTTCCTGGGATCATATCGCATGCCATATGAAGATATTAAAAACAGCATTCTAGAGGTTAATGAAGACATGCTAAGTGAGGCCTTAATTCAGGTAAGTTGAATATCTTTCTTTTAAAATTTATTTTCACAGATATTTCTGGATTTCCATCTTCTCAATTGAGTTGAAACAGAATAATTCTCTGTTTTAATAATAGTATCAGAAGTATGTACCTGTACTGATTAATAAGAGGAATTATCCCCTACCCTTTAAGACCTAGGTTTTAAATCTCTCTGTTATTTATTATCCACACATCATTTTAAATATAAGCATATGTGTATGTAGGCATATCATTGTCTGTCATTCATTGTACATGAAATTACGTGTCTTTTATCATCGCATTGGCCCCATTAAGTAGTTATTATTAGCATGTTATGGATGAAAATCTAAAAAGTCAAGAGGTTAAATAGCTTGCTCAAAATCAATGGATAAGTGGTAGAGTTACCTTTTTATTGGGCTGTGAACTTACATATTTTGGGGATCATGTCAATTGCTCTATGTGTTTATTATCTCATTGAATCCTCAAGTAATTCTGTGGCAGCAGCTATCCTTCTTTTAGAAAATGGGCAACTGAGGCTTAGAGAAATTGTTGAGTTTCATAATACTCCTTAATTCAGAGTAGTAGACAAGCGATTCAAGACAAGGTCTATCTTGACATGAAATTCATTATATTATTCTGAATAAGTTAAAGCTTTCTAAATCTGTTTCCTTTTCTGACAATATAAGGCCCTTGTAAGAATTAAACCAACTAAAGTGCTTTGTAGTATAAAATAGTATGGAAATATAACATATTATTAGAATTCTTGACGTATCTGGGCCTTTCTAGTTTGATTTCTGGGAATAAGTACTTCAAATATTTGTGCAAGGGCATAGACACATGTTCCCCCCAACCCGGGGACGGTGTTGTTTGTTGTTGTTGTCTTTTGTTTTTGAGCCATACAGTTTGTTTTTATTTTAAGAGGATATCAAGTAGTTTATGCTACATAACTTAAACAATTTAGCTATAACCCCTCTCACTCCCTCTAAATCTCAGAGAACCTGTATTTATAGTTTGAGCAAGCCATGTCTGTATGGAAATTCCTCTATTTGGGTGTGTGGGCCTGCATAATGGTTTACCTCAGGTCCTTTTATCTAGCTACCTACCTACCTACCTACCTACCTACCTACCTACCTACCGGTACTAGGGGTGATTAACCACTGAGCCACATCCCTACCCCTTTTTCTTTATTTTGAGACTCACAAAGTTCTCACTAAGCTGCTTAGGGTGTTACTGAGACTGGCTTTGAACCTGTGATCCTCATTTCTCAGCTTTCCGAGCTGCTGGGAATACAGGTGTGTGCCAACATGGCCCACCAGCTGTTGTTTTAAATTTAGACATTATTTTCTATAGGAGTGAGGGCTAATGAGTATATTTAAGCTCCTTATTACTACAATACGCCTACATCTATAAGGGATACATTTTCATAAGAAATAGCTTTGTTGAAACAATGTAGATAAATACACCACACAGACACGCCTCTCCCCAAAACACACCATTCCCACCTTGGGGAAACAAGCAAGTTCATAGTTCTCTGAGTTGAAATAGGTAGCTGATTATTTTAGTCCTACATTTCTTAGTTCCAGGATTGTTTGCACAATAATCAGAATGAGCAAGGCATTTGGATTAAATGTAATTTAATTTTTCCTCTTTTTTTTCAACTTGAGGATTTAGTTATAAAATATAAGGCAAATAAACTTTTGACTCCTACTCAATAATTGAAGCTTTCAAATCTTCCCTGTATAATCGAATTATACTAAAATAGAACTATATTTTGAAGAAATAACTGACATAGTCGTTATTTTATTCACCAAAATAGTATGCAGTTTTTTTACATACCTTGGTAAATGCAAAAAGTATAAATATGGAGAATGTTGCCATGGTATTTATTTGCCAAGAATATTTAAACAAATCTTTATTATTTTTAAGTCAGATTTTCAACTCTTTAGGGAATGTAAGATAGGAACAGAGGTTCTCACTTATGAATGTCCCTTACATGCAACAACAAGCTTTTAAAATGTATATATTACCCAGGATTTTTGTTTACTATTTCACTTTATTTTATATATTTATATATTTATACACACACATACACACACACACACACACACACACACACACACACACACACACACTTCTCTTTAAATTGAATAAGCCTGGTCCAGTTGGGAGAAATGGATTCCTTATAGTTTGGAGATAGCAGTAAATTACATCTAAATTCTTGAATTTGCTGGTTTAATCGTGTCTACTCTGCAGTCAAAACTATTGCTTTAAAATCACATTATTATGCTAAAACTTAAATTGTACTCTAAGAAGGTGAGTGAAGGAGAACCAAGTGTAGCTCCTGCCAGGTTACTTTGTACTTCCATATATTTCTTATTTGCTATGCATGGGTTGACTTGGACCTGTCTGATCTCTTCCTATTTCTTAGACTTCCATTCACTTTTCTAAACTTTTATATTTTCATCTCCTTCACATTCTTACATGTTACCCATTTCCTTCTTTGCTACACCAATTTTAAGCCTTTTATTTATTTCATGCTGTATCCATCAGCTTTTCATTGCTGAGACAAAATACCTGACATGAATACCTTAAAAATTTTTAAAAAGATTTCAGGTTATAATTTAAGAGGTTTCATTCCATCATCCACTGGCTCCATTACTGTGGGCCAGAAGTAAGGCAGAACATCATGGTGGAAAGGCATGGCAGATTAAAAACTGCATATCTCATGGTAGCCAGGAAGCAGAGAGAAGGAGAAGAAGGAGCTGGGAAAAGAAATACCCTTCTAGGGCATACCCATATGACCTCCTTCCTCCAACTAGGTCCAACCTCCTAGATTTTGTACCACCTCCCAATAATATCATTAGCTATGAACCCATGAATGGATGAGGTCAGAGATCTCATGATCCATTCACTGCCCAACAGCCTTACCTGTGAACATGGCTGAATGGGGACCATGCCTTTAACACTTGAGCCGGGTGGGGGACATTTTAGATTCAAACTGTAACATGTGATTTCTGTTTACTAGTATTTTCTTTTAAGAGCCTTATATTTCTTGTCAATGCCACATAGTCTCAATTTTTTTCTCATTCCTTACTCCACTCAATCAGAACTCGGTTTTTTCTTCTGCTTACAAGAAGCAAACACTTTAAAATGTAAGATAATATGCATAATCAGAATTTGGCTACTTGGATAAGAGACAAACATTGTGTAACTCACTTGACTTATTAAGGTAAACATTGCTATTATCTAGGTGAACCAAACATCTGAGTATCTTCTGATAAGGAAGATGCTCCTAGGTTGAAACAATTCTATGATTTTCCAGTCCCCAATGAAGAGTGCTTTCTTCATACAGGAAAACAGACTAGAATCACCAGCATCTCTCTGTCTCCCTCCCATCTCACAAATGTTTGCTTCAGTGATGCAGAAGTAACATTAATTTGCCATTCATATGAGCTGTTTACCATTTATGTCTAATTATCATGTAGCACATCGATAATATGTAGCATTAAATATGTATCATCAGATTAACTTTGTTGTAAGTTCTGTTTGATTACAGTGGTAAACTCCATCCATGCATAATCATCGTTTGTTGCTCATGTAGCATGGTTGTCTCCTCATGACAACAAAAACAACAAAAAACAATTAAAGATACATCATTTCCCAGAGACTTGAATTAACTCCAGTATTTTCTCTGCAAGTGTGGGTCAATAGTCATTTCCTTGCTAGGCAACTAATAGATTTTAGTTATTTTGTAGGATAAATGTTTTAAAAATAATTAAAAAACTACTTTTATTTAATCAACAAGATCAAGGTCAAATGTTATGGTTATTAATAAAAAGACTAATTTCTCCTTATTTCAATATACCTAAACTTCAGTGATAAACTGAATTTATCTGTAGAAGAATTGAAATGTCCTAAACTACTTTCAGTAATACATAGAAACATTTAAAAGTACACCATATTCTGAGGTTGTTGAGGAGATTTTAATATATGCAATTATGAATAAATTCCAAATAATGTGTACTAAATTTAGGCGATCCTTAGCATCATTTTCCAGCGTTGAAAAACTGCTTCAGTGTAATTTCATTTGATCTGTTTAGAGAAAAATTCAAGATAGTTATTACATGTGGTATCAGTGGAAAAAGAAATACTTATAGACACATTTACATGTATAACATTGACAAAGAAATTAATCTACCAGTTTCAAAAAAGTGATTCAAGTGTTAAAGGGAAAATATATGTTCTATTAGAGACAATTAGTGCTTGTAAATGAATTTTTTTAATACCTGTATTTATTTATTTATTTTTACATGGTGCTGAGGATCGAACCAAGTGCCATGCACATGCTAAGTGAGCACTCTACTACTGAGCCATAATCACAGCCCCACATAAATGATTCTTAAATGCTCAGGAAATATTGTTTCAGCAGGAACTTTATGCCCATATTCACAAGGCATGTGTAAAATAAAACATGATCCACAAAGAAACTAGTATATTGTTATTGCAGAATTGGGGACCCATGGAGAGAATTCAGAAGATTCAGAACTTGGATGTGAAAAATATTGCATCTTTATTTTTTTGCTTCTAATTAATATTTAGTATTTCATTTAATTAAGAATGTAGGCAACAAACCAAAGTAGTATTAGCAGTACTTCTAACTTTGACACTAATAGAAATAATAAATATTTTCATATTATATTCCAGTGGTGGCAGATATCTTGAAACATTGTTTACACTCATTACCACTTCAGAATTAAAGTACTTATTAGAGCTGCCACTAGATCTTTTTAATGCTTTAATCATGCACATATGTTATTATATCATGACTTATTTTTATAAATATGGTGATAACTGTTTCAATATAAGCAATTTCTGTTATAATCCTATGTACTTTATTTTATTCTGAGAAGAGATTCCAAAGTGAAATAAGTCCATGGCACACAAAAACATGCCAGAAACTGGTACAGTGGCTTATGGAGGGGAACTGTGAGAATGGGCTGTAGCTAAGGTGGTC